AGTAAAGTAAGGATCAACAACAGCTAAAGCAATTGCATACTTTTATTAATCAATGACTTTAGAGTGCAAATGCAGCTGTATCTTGTGAAGTAAACATAATGTGACCAGGGGGTATAAGTCAGGACTCTGTGTGCATTTCTTTGAAACAAGAAGTCACTGGGTCCCTGACTTCGGTCCCTCGGTGCCAGCAAATAGAGTCTAGGGGACAGTGGGTGGAGAGGGTCAGAAAAGGTGGGGGACTGGAAAAACTATAGGTGTTCTGATGTTATTTTGAGAAACAAACAAGAGGGCGAATGGTAGACCACGTGAGGCATGCGGTGCTTTCGGTTGACACGCAAGCTGGCAGATGAGAGAGGCAACTACAGGGAGCAAGAGAAACAGATGAGCGGGGTTTCACAACAGAGAATCTGGGACAGTGTTGAAACCCATCTAGGAGAAGCAGCAACAGGTGTGTGTGTGACTGTGTGAGAGTGTGTGGGTTTCTGATTAAGATTTGGAGCGTCGAGTAGGACAGCTGTTCTGTCTGTACACAACATCACAACAAGAACAGGGATCATGGACGGAGGGCAGAGAGATGATTCACTACTAACCTTCTATCATTCTAATGTGATGCCTAATGCAGTTAGTAACTTCCTTGTGGTTGTATCCCTTTGCCAACCGGCTAAGTTGCCATTTATATATCTAGTCAAAAATATCAACACTTCATCATTGTATCTCATAGACATTTGTATGAAATTATTATATTATCATATTAATTAATTAATTAATTAATTAGGTCTAGATATTAAGGTCTTGTGTAAGGTCATGAATCAGGATATTTACATAGAAATGAACACAAATTATATTTGTTCTAAACTATTCACAATGAAAATGCTTGCATGCTAATCTTTTAGCATATGGTGTTTACCATGGACATCATCTTACTTCTTACAACTAAACTAAGTTAATTTGAGTCTGATGGGAAGGCATGGACATCAGAGCCAAATGAAACATTGTTTTGAAAACATCAATATATATATACAATGTTTTTTTATATCAGATAGATATCAGACATTTTATTTTATTTATTATTAATATTTATTTTTAAGTTTGGCCTGATGGAGATCACCAAAGTCAGTTTGGTTTATCCTCTGGAAAGCATGAATATCTGTTCACTACAAACTTTCATGACAATCCTTCTACTTGTTGATATATTTCAGTCCACACCAAATCGACATTGCTAAAACTGACAGCTCAGATTCAACATTGTTTGTGATTCACTGCATAAACTAAACTGATACTCTTCAGAGCCCTAGGGAATAGCTTCCTTCTCAGTCACCAACTTACCAAACACTTGCAGGGACTTTCCAGGTTATTTTGTACTTGGCCTATAGGGATTTACAGCACTATATATCAGTGTATACCCTCTGCAGTTAACAAACATAATTACTTTTTTGGTCTTGTCACTTTCTACACACACCACTGTGGCTTTGCATAGTATCCCGCAAGGGGAAATGTTGAACTATAACATTGTGCCTCACTTCTGCAATGCATGCAATTTCTATTCATGATTAGTACATATAGTCATATTATATGTTCCCAATGTCGTTTGACATATTCTGATGAGCCGTCATGTTGACAGATTAGCACATGCAGAATGAGTTCAGAGCTGTGACCTTTTACATGTATCAGAGTGTTACATTGAAATCTCGGACATGAAGCAACCAATGAACCTGTTCCATAAACTTTAGCAACATAGGATCTGTAATGAACAGTGCAGTCATGTTTGATTGCAATCAATAAAACTGAGACTGAATTTTGCTTGAGAAGAATCACTTTAAGTGCTTAATCCCATCCTTTGTGTTAGCAAAAAAAAAAAATGGGAATAGAATTAAAAGAAAGGAATCAACAGAGCCTATGTCCGAAATAATGGAATTTTGTAGCAATTTTGTAACTATCATAGTTATAGTTATAAACTTGGATTGTAAAGACACATCACTTAGCCATCATGGTCAGATTACACACACGCCATGTGTCCCAACACAAACACTGCTTGAGCTGAAACACTGGCCGGCTGGTTCTTGGAAGAAGTGTCATGTTTTGCAGATTGTAAAGTGTGTCGTAAATGATGAGGACACACTCTCACTGCCTCAATGCCAAAATGTTAGCACATACTTGTTCACACACATGGACTCAGATACACACACATGCACAATAAAGTGGTTCTCGTGCTACAGGACTTTTAGGAAGTAACTTGAGCTCTTTAAATCAGCTCTGACATGACATCAGTGATCAATCCAGGGGGTCTTTAAGATAAGAAGTTACCAGCATTATGCCTTTGTTATCATTCTTACTGATGACAAATCCAATAACACAATTCTTGCTGATCATTTCCACAGCGTCACAAGTGTTTATGTCATGTGTTTAATTAAGCTGATAAAAGTTGACCCAGTGGCCTGGGCAGACTTAGTTACACATTATCTATAATGCCTTCGTCCAAGATAAACTAAATACCCTGATCCATTCTTCACAGATCTGTTGGTGCTGATTTGGGATGATTACAATACAATGGTAAACCCTTTGCGGACAGATGCAAACTTCAAAATAATTCACAATGCAACTTTATACTCTAGAGGAATTCTAAGGACAAGTTAATCTATTTATAATAGCAGGAGTGACTAAGAATCAGGGGACTTTACAGCCACGTAACTGTGAGGCTTCATATTTACAGTTACTGAAAGGAGTAGTAATATGCCTGGGCAAAACACTTCCTGAACCATAGTTACTTTTATCAATAAAAGAGTATTGATATAATCCAGAGGTTTGCAAATGATGTGTTAAATCACACTTGGTTGAAAGTGTGAAATGTAAGCAAAGAATGATTACCACAATGCAAACATACTTTGTTACAACTTGAAGTTCTGCATTCAAAATGTCTAGTTTAGTAAAAGTACATAATGTGATCAGCTAAATGTACTTACATATCATTATGAAAAATGGCCCCTTCATCCAGGAGGCACAGCAACAGGTTTAATCTTCTTTGCTTTTTTATCTACAAAATAAAAAAAATGGTAAATCTTAGAGGACTTCTCTTGTAGTTTTGTTGGTGGACAAGTTACAACTGTATCACTGCAATTAGCATAGCCTTGTACAGCTAACACCTGTGCATGCATAATTAGCCACATAACTCAAAACACCTGTGTGGGTATCTTTATACAGTCTATGGTGGGTAATGTATTCAGGTCTTACCACAAAGGCACATGCAAAACTGAATTGAGATGCAAAACCACCATAAACAGAATACACACAACTACAAAGAGATGCAAAATGAGTATTAATATATAAAACAAAGACAACCAAAACTACAAAGGCACGACTTTTGGTTGTCGTTGTGTGTGTCTGTGACCTTTTGTATCTAAATACAAACAGTTGGGAGTTCTTACTTGTCTGTGCCAATGGTCTATCATAGGGTACATTTAATTAATAGTAAAACATGTACAATATATTGCTTTGAAATGTAATGTAGTTAAAGTACAACGTAACGTGAATGGAAAATACTGAAGTAAATGTTCAAGGAGGCTACCTTTTAACTTAGGTACCGCATTTTAGAAGGTCTTAAAGTAGTAACCTGCTGTGACAGTAATATAGGATTATTGTCTCCTAAATTTGACATTTAATATTTTTAGCTTATTATCCAGGTGTCCTCTGTCTCTGCCCTTCCCATGACATGAAGCGTTCTGTTACCTCTGCTGCTCTCTCTGGAGATTGTGCAACGCTGAAGTTGATAAACAAAGCCACGTGTTGCAGGGAAGTTTCCAAAGTGGGCGGGCCTCGTGTATTTCCGGGTTCTCATACGAGGATATAAGACGAGCTGCGCAATGAAAACAGTAGACCAGAAACACACATCGCATACAAGAAGGGACACATATAAACTCAAACAGGGATTGTTTCCTGTTATTTTTTTAGATCAATTTTGCTCAAAGTCATCGAAGCAAGATGCCTTTCCTCGGACAGGACTGGAGGTCACCGGGTCAGAATTGGATAAAGACCCAGGAAGGATGGAAGAAGACAACAGCAGACGAGAAAAACAACAATGTCTCCGTGGAGAGGTTGGTTCTAAAAAAAAAGCAACCCTGTGAAATGTCGCTGTCTTCTCTCCATCACAAAAGTTTTGAGATGACATAACTCTTAAACACATCATTACTTATTTAAGTTAGAGAAATATGAAGGGGGGGAGGAAGTCCAAACAGCATT